TGAAACTGTACTTTCGATTTGATTTGAAACTGTCTCATTGCTATATGTTTATCAATAAAACTTTGAAAAGAAAAAAAAAGCATAATACAAAATGGTCAGTAACGAATTAATGACAATATCAACAGCCTTGTATGACATAAAATATATGCTTTAATCATGATTAGAATCCTACTTGAATAAAATACACACATAAACTAAAGGCCACAAGGAAATAAAAATTGAGGATGACGTCATTTTCGCCAGGCATAGTGGTGCATGCCCGTAATCCCAGCACTAAGGAGGCTAAGGCAGCAGGAACACTGAGCATTTGAGGCCAGCCTGAGCTACACAATGAGTTTAAGGTCAAGCCTGAACTACATAGCAAGACCCTGTCTCAAAAAAACAACAATAAAACTACATAAAAAGAATGAAAACAGAATGATGTGGTTTTCTCACTGTCCTTTAACAAAAACTTGTGGCTGGATTTCTTCATGAAGTATCACCGACAACAGGAAAATGCGTGGATCTTGAGCCCAACTTGTCTATCTTGGGCAACAGGGGCTTCCTACTCACCATTCTGCTGTTGCTTTACTCTGCACACATTCAGGTACTCAATCCAGGCCCTCAGAAACTTTCTCTTCTGCCACCACTGATGATGCTGCACTGCTGAGACCACCTTCCATCTCTCCCTCTGGCCCAGGAGAAGCTGCTCCTTCCACCGAGACCAAGCCTGAAAACCAGAGTAAAGACAATGGTTAAGGAAGAGGTAAGAAAATGGGGCAGCACACATGATGGAGCGAAGAAACAAAAAATACACACTGAAAAGGCTAAAATGAGAAACAGGCACAATATGCAGTGGTAATTCCCTACCAGGATCATAAGCTATGGAAATCTTGGGTGAAAAGATTAAGAAGTGTACTCTGCTTCTACAAAGTAATGATTTTATGAATTACAGGGGCAAAAGGAGGGTCAGGGTGTAGCTTAGTGAAGCAGTGCATACACAATAAAAGTCAACATGAGGACCAGAAGCAGGGACAATGAAAAAGGGATAGAATTACTTCAGATTTGGGATAGGCGAGGGGCTGCCTATTCTTCTAAAGTGGGAGGGATCCTATCAAAAGGCTCTTTCTCAGGTAGATTTATCTTAAGGAAGTGTATCTACACAAAATGAAGGTCTGTAACAGGATTTCTCAAGGGTATCCATAAACAGCCAGGCATGGTGGTGCACACCTGTAATCCTATCTTGGGAGGTGAAGGCAAGAGAATCCCTGTAAGTTCAAGGCAAGCCTGCGCTACATAATTAATTAGCTCAAGACCAGCCTGAACTGATGTATATAGTGAGAACCTCAAAAATAAAAATAAAAAGGGCTGGCCAAACAGCTCAGCAGATTAAAGCGCCTGTAAGCAGGTGCAGGAGCTGGGGGTTCAATTCCCTGGCCTGCCACCAGCCCTGCCCCCAGGGCATGCTAAGCCAGCAATTAAGACTGCATGTGGTATCCCGCACCTGTAATCTCAGCTCTTGGAGGCTGTAAACAGGCAGATCACTAAGAAGATGATCTAGTAATGATACCCTGAATACCCTATAGACCCTTCCCTAAAATACAAAATAAATAAAAAATAAAAATAAAAGACCATTCATAAACATACACCCCTAGAAAAGTCTTCATGTATGTTCAGCAATAAAACACTCCCTACTTTGAAGATGACTCAGACAATAACTTTATTTTGGTAGTAAAGTTTTATTAAAGACAGGAAAAGAAACATGCTCTGCAGAGTGAATATGGGCCAAGTCAATGTAGGAAAACAAGTATACTCTGCAACTTGAGGGTGGGCCACTATGTGGCCCATATCTTACTTACTTAGACCTGTAATATCTATTCTCCTTCCCTTCCTCACAGATGAATACCATTCTTACTTCACCAAGAAAATAAAGGCAATC